AAATCAAATCAAATCAAATCAAAGTTTACCTTCTTCACATCTGCCAGGCGCTCCTTCTTTCTTACTGGCTTGTCTTTGACTTCAGATGTGGTCTGCTGTGATTTGGACTCTGCAGACTCACACTCTGATTCCGAGTGACTCTCTGACTCTGACGAACTGTTTGACTCAGAGTTGTGGGATCTTCTCCTCTCACTGCCATGCTCGCTCTCTGACTGACTTCCAGACTCAGACGCAGAGTGGCTGGATTCTTCTGAAGCTGAATTGCTGCAGGAACAAGAACATGTTCTTTTTTTTTTATTTTGCGGAAGTACTGGCAAAAATGTGAGTTTATACTGTAGCTGGCAGCAACTTAAAGACTTCTTAGAATTTTAACTCCAAGTGCACACAGCCACGGCCACATGAAGAAACTGCAGAATTGCACTTTGACTGTTGACTGCTGCACCTCCTGCTCCCATGCAGCATACATTCTCTATTATATTCTTATATATTTTTTATTATATTGCTGCATTTGCTGCTTAAAGTGCCTTAGTTTTTGTGTTACTTATTTATCTACTTTATATTTCATTTGTATTTTTGTGGCATTCATGTGGACGACAAAGTAAGAATTTCATTGTACAGGGAAACATGTTTCCTAACTGTGCATATGACAAATAAACACTTTGAACTTTGACCTTGAGAAGGTTGTGACTCTCAGCTGAGAGGAAACTTCATTACAGAATGCACCATGTTCTCTACTCAGCAAACAGGCTTATGATAACTTAATTTTCTCTAAGGCGCATAAATCATTTTACGGTCACTTTAAAAAGTCTAGGAGTTCACACACCAGCGTTCAACGTAATGAGTTAAATCTGGATGAAGCTGTAAATTAACAGGCTATCACTTCTCAGAGTGGTTGCACACAGTGAATTGAAAACCTTCCATCTCTGCCAACCTACCATTACATAAGGGAAAAAAATACACTTACATAATTACTTATGTGAAAAACTACCAGAATGGAATAAAAATTAAAAAATATACTTGCAACACCACCATTAAAATTGCATGAGCACTCCCAGTTGTCATAGCTTAAGCCATAACCTCACTGAGCTTGGAACTATTTTTTGTCAGAATAATGGTAAGATTAATGAATAAAGTCTAGGCCATTGGTTCCTAAACTTTTCAGCTCATGACTAAACTTGTAACCCTCATCATAAGTTACAGCCTAAGATGAGCAGTATTAACGAGTGTTTAATTTGAAAGATTTTTAGATGACTGAAGAGGTGACAGTATTATATGCTATAAGAAAATATTAAAGAAACATCAGGAAAATAAACCCAATGGCACCACATATATTTTATTCTAAACGCCACATCACTCAATGTGACCAGACAAGAAGGAGTTTTAAACAATTTGGGACCCCTTTGAAAAAAATACAGTAGACCTGTATCTCAAGGGGTACATCTTTATGCAGTAACCTTGAAATCTAATACAAATGTATCCATTTTGTATAAAATAAAACTTATCTTGAGATGTGAGTAAATTAGTGATGGTGTGGTGACCTCTCCTGTTTGACTTTCTCTGCACGCAGTACCTCGTCTGGACACATGGGGGCGCCACCCTCATTTATAATAAATCTCAAATCACTGCCCGACAAGAGCCGTTGTGCAGCACACACGGGTTATCAATAAACATTCAAATACACATGGGCTAAATCGTTATTTCATCTATTCAGTGCTTATAAGAAGAACACTCATTGTGACGGTCAAAGGGATTTATATTTTCAGTTTAAATATGTAAAGAATAACCGTGTATACTCTTACATTTATAGAAATATGGAAAAGACACTGAAGGGCAACTAACATTATCTGGTAGAAACTAAATAATTTCCATTTGAGTGGTATTACGATACAAGGTGTGACAGCTCATCTCTTCTACAGCTTCACGGACCAAACTCGGAAGTGCATGGCTCCTTCCGCTTTAACTGAGGTCAATGGTAGGCGGGACAGGAATAAACTCTCGAATTACTATTGGCTGCTGTGTTGCTAGGTGGAAATCTAGCCTATAGCAGCGTGATGTGCTGGCTTTCCAAGGTCTAAACTCTTCCTGTTCCTCCTCCATGTAGTTCTGAGCTAAGTTTTAATACAGCTAAGCAAGCAAGCAAGCAAGCAAGCTGGGCATGGGCACACAAAGCAAGGGCCATTTTGTAACTCTAAAGTGCATGTATATAGTACTTGAATGAAATCATAACGTCACAAAGTCACCTGATTTAATGTTTCTCATTCTGCTGCTCTGCATGCATTCAATGCTCATCTACCATTAAGACAGAGCTAGGCTGTCATCAGTAGGAGAGGACACATTTCATTCACAGCTGAAAATACTAAAATGGCTGCCACAGGATCACACACAAAAAGACTACAAGTGTGATGTGACCTGCTGCAGTGTATTGTCAAAGTGCTGCGAGTGCCTTTGCCTGCATTTAGGCATCAAAATACATTTGTGTATTTACAAAACAATAGTCTATTCAGATCAGTCTGCTTTATTTCTTTTTAATACATGGCAGCAATTCTAAGAACTTTGGGTGGGATACAGCTTTGGTACAATAAATAAAACTTTTAAATAATAGCTGGCCCATATGTGGTGTGTCTGCACTCCTGACACCATAAAAATGATCTGATATTAGTTTGCAAAGCCATCTTTATTGATCAAAATGAGTTTCCACTGATTGATGTATTATGATCTGGGTAGCTTAGAATGATAAATACACAGTTGCAAATGTTAACACTTTATCAAGAGAAAAGCAGATAATACTGTAAAATCTGTCATCATATTCAAGTGTCCTGACTGTTAGCCACTGGCCTTTGTAATTTACTTTAAAAGCTAGTATGTAATTGAAAAACACTGCTTGGGTGTGATGGTCACAAGTACCAGACATGCTAGCACAAACACTATATAGGCAATATTATTAGAAATCAATTTAAACTGATCTGACAATGAAAAATGTCAGTAAATCTAGGTGATAGGGGCCATCCAGGTATAAAATATATTAGGCCAATTGAAAGCAATCACTGAACAAGTCTAATGATCATTATGCTTAAAGAGAAATATTTAAATTGAAACTTTTCATCCACAAAAACTCCCCATAAAATGAAGTGAAATAACCTGAGAAAATAAAGTTGAAGGTTAAAATGCTGTTACATAAGCATGTGGACAGATATAACTTCATAATACACAAGAGTGAAGTAGTTTTTAAGTTTTGCTAACCGAGCTAAAAACAAGACAAAATTATTTACAAGGCATTAAAATCTTTGGGATTTAAGGTTTGCTTTAATTAGCAGAAACAACCAAGCATAAAAACAAACTTGGATTTCCTATGACTTAGTAACTTTAAATAGTTTCAAACAAAAAGTATAGTTTGTTACAAAACTGACAATTGTAGCCACATGTAACTTGGTTTCATGTCAAATAACGAACGGAAAAGTATATTATATACAACACACTGTAAAGACTGAATATATTACTGAGCATAACACCAAAGCAATACATTGTTTCTGAAATAAAAATCAAAAGACAACGGAGATAAAATGGTGCAATGCAGTACCAACTATTAAGACAAGGTCATATTACAAACTGTTGTGATGAGGCATCAAACATTTGTGACAAGCCATTTGCAACATAACACAGAACAAATCAGTTTTCCTGCCGTCTAACACACACATCTTGAGGGCAATGATCTACTGACACAGGCCTGAAACTTCAGAATTGAGTGTAAGAAATAGTAGGAAAATTTGGGTGTGGCTATTAAACAATAGCAAGGTCATTGATGACACTGGTACACTTCATTAAAACCACGTCGGAAATGTATACACAGGTGATCGACCATGCTTGACAAGGTAAACAATCAAATCAGTAATGAAAAAGGTATAAGTATAAGAGTCATACCTTGATGCATTGCTTTGGGTCGAGCCTTCATCCTCTTGTTTTTTACTTTTATTCTTCATCATTGTAGTATCCTGAAAATCTCTGATAGGATGATCTTTTGTCCTGTATTTACTGTAAAAAAGTTAGAGGAAGCATGAACTATCATCCAAGTCCCACTAGATTGCCTTTGCTCAGGTGGCAGTTAAAACCAGGCGGTGCGACACGAGTAAAGAAAAAGGCATCAATTCGAAAGATTTGAGTATCTTTATTTACATCGCTTACTTAAATATAGGTAAGAAAAATGACAGATGTTATCACAATCAGTTAACTATCCATCCTGTGTCTTTAAATATAGTCCACGGATCAAGCCGCATGCAATTAATTTTAACTGCGTCATCAGATGAAGGATTAGAAAAGTAAGATTTAAGAATGAGAAAATCAAAAAATTATGCACTACATAATGTAAACATACCAATTGGACGTGAAGGAAGCTGGAAGACTATAAATGAAGTATTAGATTCACGTTCACTATATCACGGGGTTCAAATATTTATCCGACTCGAATTAAAAACGAGAGACTGTAAAAATAACAACTTAACAATAAACTACAAAAAATAAAGTTGTTTGAAAACGCTCGAAGGCCTTTACAGTCCTCATCTACTGTCAGTCTGAGAGACAGAGGCGAGCAGCACACTAAAAATGGAGGCGCGCCATGGCTGCTGCCAGAGCCCAGTATGGAAAACAACGACAAGCACTCCCCCAGCACAGACGGCTCCTACGGCTCGAAAAATCAGCCCAAAAACCGCACAAAACGCCTAAATTTTCTTTAAAACACGGACTGTACGACTACGACCCTTGAATTTTCACCAGAATCAAGCGGGCTCGGCCGAAAAACAAGATGGACAAACGGTCTCACGAAAACATAGCACCCTTCCCAAGACTCAGCCGCCATCTAGAGCTCCTTCCTAGCTCTGAAAGCTTTGCCTTTGATTGACGTTATTTCCATTTACCCCACACTCAGGTGATGCTTAAGTCCCACCCCTTTTATTTATGTTTAAATTTTGTTTTTTATGAACTTACATATATTATCAGGCCCAGGACACACGACAAACAGTGCAAGCTCTTTTGACACTTCATAAAAGAAGAGAATACAGAGAGGCTCTTAATAGTGTATATAAATTTTTCTGCACCAATTGCATCACTTCCTGCTCAGACAGGAAGAAGGACAACCAGAAGCCATTTTATGGCCTTTGGAAACCATTTCTTTTCAGACAAAAATCCTTTTAACTACTTATACACCAACTTGTGTTGTCTTAAACTAATTTTCATTGATTAAGTAATGCATTTCCCTTGGGACTTATAAAGCACAAGGGTGCATTCACATGAACCATTTTGCCTTTATCTTGTGTCAATGGAGATGACAATTATCTTTGAGGGCCACACCTAAAAAATTATTACTTTAGAAGGTTAAATCAACCCAGTAGAAAGCTCTTATGCTAGCTGATAGATCGAGTAAATATTTGATTTATGACAGAATGTCAATGCAAATCAAGTTAATTTGTTTTATAGAATAAGTGAAATATTAAAACCAACTACCGAGAATATTACGTAAAATATTCTCTTTGATTGGCTAATTACCTAATGACACAAAGCCAGGAAAAAATACGAGGTCATACATTTTATTTAAAAACATTTTGTATCTCAAATGTACAATGGCTGATTTTGTTTCCCAAAAACAACAATGTAATTTTGCAACGAGTCCACTATGCAGCCATCAACGATGTTCCAGTGTCCATGTTGTCGTAAGAAATAAAGTCCAGTTAGAAAAAAGTCCAGTTAGAAAAAGGTTACATCCTGGCAAAATTTGGCTAACTGCCACATCACTTGTCATCTTCACGTTAAACAACGCAGTCTCCACTTCACCAATATCAAATATTCTTCCTTTGAGATGGATTTTATAACTATGTGTTATATGGGAAATTATATGTTCATTAAAAGCAAAAAAAAAAAAAAAAAGAAGAAGGAGGAAAAGTTGTAAGCCCACAGTGCAACTAAAATGACTAGATTCACTGTCCAGTTATTTAAAAAGGCATGCTAAACCAGACTAAAATTGAGACAGTTTAGTAACATACGTAGCTAGCTTTCAGTTGCGTTAGACAGCACTGCGCAAGTGTTACTTTGATATATGAGCGACTGTAAGAATATACAATTGTTCAAAAATGTTAACGGAAAAAACCTTCCGATAAATTGTATATAAAAGTCACTATATCGACAATACGCAAACTACAGCTTGGGGTGGGTTTGTACATAAGTTTCATCATCGTCATTCATTTTAATTTTATAGGCTTACATCCAAATTCTGATGTACTAAATTCCAATAAGACATGTAATACGTTTTATGCATGACATGACATAAATACATCTGGCTGAAGCTCCCACATTGAAATTATCAGCAAAATGAAATCTGAGTTGAGTAAATGTTCCACAATTTGCAAAATAATTCACCAACTGACCACCAGGGGTATGATGAGTCTAGAGTTGCCTAATTCACATCATGCCTACATTTTTTTTTTTCGCAACAGAGATTTCTAAACAAATTAAGATCAAAACACTGGTATTTACACAAAAAATACTGTAATCAAAATAAAATCCATAGCCTGAACTGACATATTGATTACCATAATCACCAAAGCACAAACATGACGAACAAATGAACAACATAATGGTATCCAAAAACTATTAAAAGCAATCCTTCAAACAATGCCAATGTTCTTACATCCAATATTTCCTCACAGCTTTTAAAGTAGTATAATACAGCAAAATAAAAATAACTGAGACATTATTTAGTCACATTTTGTCAGGTTTTCAACATAAGCCAAATACTTCTCATAGATTTTACCAAAAATGTAGAAACTCTCAGAGAAATGTGACTTTTTCCTTAGTTGCCAACAGGAAGCAATACAATGGATATCCATATAAAGCCACTTTAGAAATAGCCTATACTTGTATTAATAATAAAAGTAGCCACATTTCGAAATTAGTTCATCATGTAATCCATAAAATTATTTTTATGCACTCCAAACTGCTCACATCTAGGTCTCTTCTGAATGGCGACTATAAATATTCCAGATAAATGTGGTGTAAAGTTAGCTAAAAATAGCAGGAACATATCCTCAACTACTTTAGAATCCAAATGTGATACAGAGAACAATTAATCTCTCAAGTTAAATATTATATTCATTATATTCCTATGCTCATTAAGCATGCAAATAGATGCTCAGGTCAAACATGAAAAACTTACAGAGACGTCTTCTTTTTCTTGAAAATCACATCAGTCCATATCTCTGCTGTGGAACAGAAAAGGAACAATGAATGATACCTATCAGATACACAAAAAACATTTTCCATTCAAACAATCTTATGAATATGAAGGAGTTTATCTCAGAGAAAAAATATACAATTCTCTCAAACTTTCACAGTAATAATAAGTACTGATTAATAGCTGATGTTGTAAACAGTGAACACTGGAAATTGATTCAACACCAAGCCAATGTCAAGTTTTACTCTAGTGCTAGCTTTGGTGTTGTTTGTTTAAATAAAATATGCAGACGTTTACTCAAAGATATTGTTTCACCTTTTTGTTCAAGAATCCCACTTTAACAGAACCTCGAAGCCTAAATAATATGTTAATTTTCATATTTGACTTAATTAAAAATCCAAAACTCTCAAGTCTTCTGAGAGGTTATGTAACAAGCTACCTAGTACAGGTTCTTCTTTTTTTCCAGGACAGAAAAAGCAATGTCTGTTTTCCACATCTTTTTTAACTAAAGTATGTGCAGATGTGAACAAAACATATTACTGTAGAAATCTACCAAAGTCATCACCTTTATTTGGCCAAGTATGTTACACACTAGGAATTTGTTTCTGGTACAGAACCAAGGCAGCCATCTGCAGCACCAACTTTTACCAATGGCTCTAACCATCGGGGGCAACTTGGGGGTTCAGTGTCTTGCCCAAGGACACTTCAACACGTGGACTGCAGGCACCAAGATTCGAACTTCTGATCCTCCGATTGGGAGATACCTGCTCTACCCACTGAACCACAGTCACCCCCAATCATATCATATTAAGCTATTAATTCTGCTTACTGTATGGTTATTGACCTTATGTTCCATTTTGTGGATTTCTAGCCAATGGGTTTTTGCTGTGAAGACCAATGGGTTTCTACAGCTGCTTCTTCAAGTAAAGTGGTGAAGTGAACAGCCAAAAAAATTGTTTTTGTACAAAGAGCGACTTGCTAAATCAATTTTATTTGGTTAAGTAATGTCAGTGGAAGCCAATAGCCAATCATCCACCTATAGACAATTTTAGATTTTCTCTTGCTCATTAACCATGGACTGATTTAAATTGTTTTGAAGATGCAAAATGGTCAAATTATTGTCTACTGTCACTCTTTATGCAATTCAATAATGGTGCATCCCTAATCTCAGGACATTTTGTTGCAAGTTAAGACATTTCATTTAATACTAGCTTTTTTATTCACCTTTTGATACACAAGTTTTTGAAATTACATTCTTTTGGAAGCAAATAATATCACAGCCGCCAATAAGGGCAGAAACTTATTACACTGTCATCATGATGTCGCCTACAGGCCATGATTAACAATGTAGCCAAACTAGCTAAAAAAATGTTGTTTGTTAACTGCCAAAATGTAGTCAAAATGAATGTTTGTACACGCACTCAACTATTGAAAGGTATAGCGGTTGCAGCAAAAAATATCAATGTGACTCAATGTTTGTTTCGTGCTACCTGTGCCAGCTGAGTCTTAATACAACTCCAAACAGAAGATGCAACATTCAAGCCTCTTAAGTAATAATTTGGTAAACGCAGCAATGCATCATGTGACGCGTGTCACACAGTAACACACCAGGAGAGGCGCAAATTCAATTCAGGACTACCAAAATGGCGCTCTTCAGTATTTTATGCTTTTGATGCACGTCAACACCAGGTGAACAGGACAACAGCGTATCATGATGCAGAAATGCATGTCAAGCAGCGATGACACACTTTAGCTCGCTGCCAGTTTATGGATTTGCGTTGAAAATATGTGCAGGTGTTTTGACGCACATCACACACTATCCGTGTGTGTTGCTCTTCATGTATCCTTTGAAATCCAAATCCACCACATTCATTTCTAGCCTACAAACCACAATAAATGGTTGAACTCTTTATATGAATGTGATGTAATAACTGACAGGTGTTTTTAATACATTGGACACTTATCACATCAAACTAATAATCATAGCACAGCAGGATATTCAGATTGCAGGCAACTGCTGGGAACATAAAATGACTTTTAGTCATGGTTGAACTGTATTTATTTTTTTTATTATTATATCTGTATTTTAATCAAGTGAGTTAACTATTCCAAAATGTAAATGACTTGAATTTACATATGCATTTAAGTGAAGGAAAAATTATCTGAAACTAACCACAACATGTCTCTTACAGAATCTATTATTTAATAACTTGTAAATACTATGCACTGATGTGAACATCCTCGCCACATCATAGAGGGCAGAACTATCCTACCCGAAGACATGACTCACTACTTCTACTTAACACAAACTGAAGTGAAAAAAACAAAAACAAAAAACAAACAAACTTTTATTCTGTTATGTTTAAGTGGTCAGTAAAACAGGCAAAACATGTATGAAGAGTTAATATGTAAGAAACAGACTGTAGACATTCAATCTCTTAAAACTGATACTTACAGATCCCCACTGCAGTGCAAGTCACTTGAATTCTTCAAGTCACGACTCCATAGTGGCTAAATGTCAGTCCTTTAAAAAAAAGAAAAATAAATGTTCAGACAGGAAATGTGACAACAGCACACCCCACTGGCTGCATGTATGTGGCAGTAAAGACAAGAACGCTAATAAGACTGCAAAAAAAAAAACAACTAAAATCCTGTATTAGTTAATGAAAACATACCATTTAGCTTGGCGGTCATGTGACCAGCATCCCTTTTGACACAGTTTTTGAAACATCAAGGAGAATCCCTGCAAAATACAAAGCATAATTATGAACATTTTCGTAGTCAGTTAGCAAAATTGCAACTTACATTGACATAAAATTTTATTTCCGACATAAACAGGCTATTAGATTTAACAATATTTTCAAGAATATTTTCAAGAATGTTTCAAAGCTCATTAACATAATAATACAATTATGAACAAGTTGTTGCCTATTTAGTTATAAAAATGCTTCATCTTTTAACGCATTGGTGGCAACTAAATGTGTCTTCCACAGTTACATCCTAGTGAGATTGGCTTAGAGAGGGCATTTTATTATGTGGAGAGGGGTACTAATTCTTTGGATCTAACAATACAGATTAAGATACAAATATCTATTATAAGATACTGCACATTGTGTGTTTTATTATGTGTAATGGTATTTGCTTTCATATGTGGATTAATCAACAACTTTACCCGTGATACAGTGATATTCAGAGGAATTTAATTCTTTATTTAATTTTAATTTATAGTTTCTTCTTTTTCCTTTAATTTATACTTCATACATACAAGCTTTCTAAGATAAAATCTTTATTTACATGTCTTGCAGGTGTAATGTAACATGGAAAACAAAATTAATGTACATATTTAAATTGCATCTCCATTCAGTAACTGAAAGGGTTAAAAGCCAACACCCTATTTGGTATTTCAAAGTATATCTAAGCTTTTAAAACATATAGAACCTTTATTTGACAAACAGGTCAAGTATAGTTTGTGTGTATTCTCTGAGATGTGAGAATAGTTGTTAATAAGCCTATTTTGAGCATTTGACAACTTACCAAAATTGATTTAAACTATTTTTAAATATGTTTTAAGCATCACACACTCAAATTTTGTTATAAACTACAATTACACACTCTGAGTTATGATACTGTTCAAAATTATGATTTTTTAAAGATAGTTTGTTATTTACAATTCGATGAAAAACCTAAAAATCGAATATACGGAAAATAAACAAAAATATGCTTAAACTTGTTGTGTTAACGCCAGTTAGTCTCAAAACAACAGTTTAGAAACGAAATATTTCCCATTTGTGTTGTCTTTATCGAGCAAATTCAGACAAGGGCATTTGCCCTTTCAAGGACAATGCAAATTTTAAATGCGTAGGTTGAAATAATTCGAAATAGGTCGAGAACAAATGTACTTGCACATATATGAACTATGATAACTTGAAGCAGAGCTAGCAAACATACTAATTCCATCAACTAAAACAGAATTATATACAATTTACACTGTGTAGACCCTTTTCTTTATTCTTCGCTGACAACACACCATGGCCATTTTTACAACACTGCGTCTAACCGTCGTTCTTTCCACCATTTTGCCATACACGCCCGATTCGTACTTTACAGCTATAAATGTATGATTACGCCTAAGTTCTTACCCATTATCCAGGCCGTGTCTAACCCCTGTCATCTGTCCAGGCTGGTATCGCATTTTTGAGCGATTTTCGTCGTTTTGCTTGGTCTTTTAGCCACATCTTTCCGCCCTTCCTCCTCTCCGTCCTTGCCACCCCGCTCCTCTGTTGTGTGTGTCCTCTTCTGTGCCTCTGCCTGAGCTGATATCCTTCAGCGGCTCTGCCCACCTTGCTCTCAACGTAAGCTAAGCCCCACTTCCTCTCCAGCCCCATCTAGCTAACGCTAGCAATCACGGAAGCTGTTGTTGCTTGATCCCAAAGTCACAGTAACACATTAATCGTCGCTAACAAAATTAGCTCTGAAACATTCTCTGCCTTTGTGTTATTAAGGAATAGATATAAACTGCCACGTAAACAGTAAATCAAGTTAAGCTAAAGTCGGACATTAGTAAACATGAACGGTTACTGAAATAAGCTAACTACTGTAACTTTTTGACATAATATTAAGTAGTTTTTGAGGTTAAAAACAATAAAGTATAATTTAGTAAAAACATAGTGATTCTCGTGCGTCATTGTATGGTGGCAGTTTAAGTCTGGTGTTTTTTATGTTTGTTGTTTGTTGTTTGTTTGTTAAGGGTTAGAAACCGTTTTCTGATCTGTTGTGTGTTTCCAGTCTTTCCTCTCATCAACCATACAGAAACACTTTGTTTAAATCTAAAGTAGGCATACTTGTGACCCGTGTCTTGCCAGAAACACAGAACTTCTTGAACATTTTCGTTAGGGAGAGCCTTGAAAGACAGTGCGTTGCATTGCATGTGCAGGTCGGTTAATACATGATCAATAACATGTTAATTCAATGACTCATTAACATCAAAGTTCAGACAGACTTCCTGATATGGCCTACGTGACTCACAGTGATTGAGTGACTCCATGTTGGACTAAGATGCATTTTTTCAGACAAGATTCGTGTTTACAGATATTTGTGAAAGCATAAGTAGAAAGCTGCTTCAAGGTTAAGACCTGTTTGAAAAAGTGTAAATGAACATAAAGGCACTGTCATATGAGCCTGCTTAGCCACTGACAAAGTGACACATTCAATTCAGTGAAATAAATCATGTTTATCTTATCTAAAATAATTTGAACAAATAGAATCAAAAGTCTAATAGGGACAGTTAGATTTGGTAAAATGTGGCTGTTCAGTGAATGAACACAGCCTTTGTTGGACAGTCTATGAAGTCTGTGGTATGCACTCCTCCCCCACCACTGACCAATGATGTGTTCCATAGAATAGCGCATGCTCTTTGCAGTGGAAGATTTCTTTAAAAAGATCCTCAGCCTAGCAACAAGAGCTCCCTGCAACTGCAGTGCAAATCCAGTTATACAAATGCTCTTAACATAGCCCTATACTGATCTGTAGAATGGGTTTGAACAGGATAGCATTTATAATCCAAATCTGTTAAGTTCCCCCCCAAAAATCTAGGTCATACAGTATCTTCTTCCTTCATCTATCGCCTGAACGTTCCAGTCTGAAATTGTAGTTTAAGAGACAGAGAATTGGAAATGTAGGCCTTCTCTTAACTGACACTGTGGTCACAGCACAATACTTCCTGAAGAGCACCAATTTTGTTTCAAGTAAGGCAGGTTGTTAAATTGTTTGTGCATAGTAAGTAATGTATGTTCACTCTCAGATGGGTTTTTCACTGTGCCATTATTTGATGACTTAACTGTCTGACTATAAACAAATATGTTAATAATGTAACCAAAGGTTGTCATTTTATATAGAAGTACAGTTATAAGCTAGTAGTCAGCAGGGAGAGCTTCTATATGGGCTATATGGGACAATAGAATGTTACAGTTGCTAATGTGTACATTGTGTGCTTACACACTACTCATACTGACCTGCAGCAAGGATCAACATATCATGGAACATTTCTTATCATAATGGGAAGGCAGAAATGCAGCCACTTGTTTTACAATACTGCTGGAGAAGGGTGTGCCTTAACACAAAAACAGCACCAACAGCAGGAGGGATTGTATTTGCTGAATTTCAGATAACGCAAACATGTCTTTGTTATACTGCAAATAACCTTTGAGAGTTGACCTAAATAAAAAACTGAATAATTGGGCGTGCAAAATTATTCAGCCCCTTTACTTTCAGTGCAGCAAACTCTCTCCAGAAGTTCAGTGAGGATCTCTGAATGATCCAATGTTGACCTAAATGACTAATGATGATAAATAGAATCCACCTGTGTGTAATCAAGTCTCCGTATAAATGCACCTGCACTGTGATAGTCTCAGAGGTCTGTTTAAAGCGCAGAGAGCATCATGAAGAACAAGGAACACACCAGGCAGGTCCGAGATACTGTTGTGGAGAAGTTTAAAGCCGGATTTGGATACAAAAAGATTTCCCAAGCTTTAAACATCCCAAGGAGCACTGTGCAAGCGATAATATTGAAATGGAAGGAGTATCAGACCACTGCAAATCTACCAAGACCTGGCCGTCCCTCTAAACTTTCAGCTCATACAAGGAGAAGACTGATCAGAGATGCAGCCAAGAGGCCCATGATCACTCTGGATGAACTGCAGAGATCTACAGCTGAGGTGGGAGACTCTGTCCATAGGACAACAATCAGTCGTATACTGCACAAATCTGGCCTTTATGGAAGAGTGGCAAGAAGAAAGCCATTTCTTAAAGATATCCATAAAAAGTGTCGTTTAAAGTTTGCCACAAGCCACCTGGGAGACACACCAAACATGTGGAAGAAGGTGCTCTGGTCAGATGAAACCAACATCGAACTTTTTGGCAACAATGCAAAACGTTATGTTTGGCGTAAAAGCAACACAGCTCATCACCCTGAACACACCATCCCCATTGTCAAACATGGTGGTGGCAGCATCCTGGTTTGGGCCTGCTTTTCTTCAGCAGGGGCAGGGAAGATGGTTAAAATTGATGGGAAGATGGATGGAGCCAAATACAGGACCATTCTGGAAGGAAACCTGATGGAGTCTGCAGAAGACCTGAGACTGGGATGGAGATTTGTCTTCCAACAAGACAATGATCCAAAACATAAAGCCAAATCTACAATGGAATGGTTCACAAATAAACATATCCAGGTGTTAGAATTGCCAAGTCAAAGTCCAGACCTGAATCCAATCGAGAATCTGTGGAAAGAACTGACAACTGCTGTTCACAAACGCTCTCCATCCAATCTCACTGAGCTCGAGCTGTTTTGCAAGGAGGCATGGGCAAAAATTTCAGTCTCTCGATGTGCAAAACTGATAGAGACATACCCCAAGCGACTTACAGCTGTAATCGCAGCAAAAGGTGGCGCTACAAAGTATTAACTTAAGGGGGCTGAATAATTTTGCACGCCCAATTTTTCAGTTTTTTATTTGTTAAAGTTTGAAATATCCAATAAATTTCGTTCCACTTCATGATTGTGTCCCACTTGTTGTTGATTCTTCACAAAAAAATAGTTTTATATCTTTGAAGCCTGAAATGTGGCAAAAGGTCGCAAAGTTCAAGGGGGCCGAATACTTTCGCAAGGCACTGTAGGCTATTTTACTGTGTTTGCTTTTCACATAGCATTATGAATCACTGTGTATATTGGCGCGGCTGTGTTGTTCAACAAACAACTTCTTAGAGTCGACAGGTCAGTGTGCAGATTAATGGTAAAGCATGTCTTCAGCTCCTGTTCTTTGAAGGAGCAAGAGTAGCACACTGAAAAATCTCCAACATGACTAAGTCCTGGGAATGTTTTGAAGTCAGTTTTTAAACGCATATGTCTGATAACTAAACTGAAACTGAAACATAAAAACCACAAGTTAAGTCATTTTAGGGTGATACACGATCGCTGTACTCACAGTCTGTGCTGTTTCTCTGAGTAAAGTTCCTCTCAAATTGTGACAACACCCTTCAGCAACCCTGTATTTTCTGTTGCAGTGACCAAATTGTTCTTCAGAGAGGTAAAACCTTTTCAATGAACAATAAATCCCCATGCAAAATTAATATATAGCTAATGGGCAGGCACTTTATAGTAGATTACACTGTGGCTTTGTGTACATTAGTGAATAGACCTCACTTATAGGTTAATCTAAAATGTTATTACTGTAATGTATGTAATCTAAAATGAAGATTAGATGCGTGAGGTACTCGATGTGTTCTTTCTTAGCTAAGTTCCGGGTGCTAAAGGCATATTCAAACCAACCTGTATCTATGCAGACTTTTTATTTTGTACTGCCATCTGGTGGGCTTTGGTCAAATATAATAATTCACATTGCTATAAGAGCATGGTAGCACTCCCAGAAATAGGTGTATAAGACCAAGCATGGATGGATTACTGAACAGGCCTCAGGCCCTGGGGCCTAAGTGATCAGAGGGCCCCTGGACCAGAGCCTCTGTATGACATGACTGTCTTAACATTTCTTGTTTGAAAGTCAATCAGCAACAAATAGATGAAAAATTAGCAAAAACTGATGCAAAACTGCCACAAAGAGATGTGCAAGGACATGCAAAAAACTAAAACATAGACAAAAATAACTACAAAATAACTAAGAAGAGAAGCAAAATACAAGCAAAAATTACTAATTCAAGATGCAAAATGACTGCAATGACACAAAACAATAAAATATAGTTGCAAAATGACTAAAAAAAGAGGAACAACACTTGATCAGTGGGTCTTACACCTGTGTAGGAGGGTTGGGGGCCTTGCTCAGCTGGGCACACGTCTAATATCAGAATCAGAATTAGCTTTATTGGCCAGGTGTGTCGGACACACGAGGAATTTGACTCTGGTACAGCAGCTCCAAATGTATGCATAAATGTCAACAAGCAAGGGAATGTGTATTAGGCAATAGATAAAAAAAAAATAGAGTAAAGTACTTATACAGTCAGGTCCATAAATATTGGGACATCGACACAATTCTAACATTTTTTGGCTCTATACACCACCACAATGGATTTGAAATGAAACGAACAAGATGTGCTTTAACTGCAGACTGTCAGCTTTAATTTGAGGGTATTTACATCCAAATCAGGTGAACGGTGTAGGAATTACAACAGTTTGCATATGTGCTTCCCACTTGTTAAGGGACCAATAGTAATGGGACAGAATAATAATCATAAATCAAACTTTCACTTTTTAATACTTGTTTGCAAATCTTTTGCAGGCAATTACAGCCTGAAGTCTGGAACGCATAGACGTCACCAGACGCTGGGTTTCATCCCTGGTGATGCTCTGCCAGGCCTCTACTGCAACTGTCTTCAGTTCCTGCTTGTTCTTGGGGCATTTTCCCTTCAGTTTTGTCTTCAGCAAGTGAAATGCATGCTCAATTGGATTCAGGTCAGGTGATTGACTTGGCCATTGCATAACATTCCACTTCTTTCCCTTAAAAAACTCTTTGGTTACTTTTGCAGTATGCTTTGGGTCATTGTCCATCTGCACTGTGAAGCGCCGTCCAATGAGTTCTGAAGCATTTGGCTGAATATGAGCAGATAATATTGCCCGAAACACTTCAGAATTCATCCTGCTGCTTTTGTCAGCAGTCACATCATCAATAAATACAAGAGACCCAGTTCCATTGGCAGCCATACATGCCCACGCCATGACACTACCACCACCATGCTTCACTGATGACGTGGTATGCTTAGGATCATGAGCAGTTCCTTTCCTTCTCCATACTCTTCTCTTCCCATCACTCTGGTACAAGTTGATCTTGGTCTCATCTGTCCATAGGATGTTGTTCCAGAACTGTGAAGGCTTTTTTAGATGTCGTTTGGCAAACTCTAATCTGGCCTTCCTGTTTTTGGGGCTCACCAATGGTTTACATCTTGCGGTGAACCCTCTGTATTCACTCTGGTGAAGTCTTCTCTTGATTGTTGACTTTGACACACATACACCTACCTCCTGGAGAGTGTTCTTGATCTGGCCAACTGTTGTGAAGGGTGTTTTCTTCACCAGGGAAAGAATTCTTCGGTCATCCACCACAGTTGTTTTCCGTGGTCTTCCGGGTCTTTTGGTGTTGCTGAGCTCACCGGTGCGTTCCTTCTTTTTAAGAATGTTCCAAACAGTTGTTTTGGCCACATCTAATGTTTTTGCTATCTCTCTGATGGGTTTGTTTTGTTTTTTCAGCCTAATGATGGCTTGCTTCACTGATAGTGACAGCTCTTTGGATCTCATCTTGAGAGTTGACAGCAACAGATTCCCAATGCAAATAGCACACTTGAAATGAACTCTGGACCTTTTATCTGCTCATTGTAATTGGGATGAGGGAATAACACACACCTGGCCATGGAACAGCTGAGAAGCCAATTGTTCCATTACTTTTGGTCCCTTAACAAGTGGGAGGCACATATGCAAACTGTTGTAATTCCTACACCGTTCACCTGATTTGGATGTAAATACCCTCAAATTAAAGCTGACAGTCTGCAGTTAAAGCACATCTTGTTTGTTTCATTTCAAATCCATTGTGGTGGTGTATAGAGCCAAAAATGTTAGAATTGTGTCGATGTCCCAATATTTATGGACCTGACTGTAAATAGAGACCTGTACATGCACACAGTCTGGGCTATGTCTAAGGTAGTTTAAACTGCAAATTCCTGCCCTCTTAAGTCATCAGAGGGGTAATTTGTATAAGAAAGTCTAAGTGTTGGTCTACTTTTTTACTTGGACTATGCAGATTGTAAAACCATAGTCTAATGAAAGTAGAAACAGAATCATGAATTTTGTCTATATGTGTCTAAGAGAGAGAGAGAGAGAGAGTCAAAGGCAGAGGCTGATTTTGTGTTTGCTTTGTTAACTATATATTTATATTTTCTGAATATTTGTCACTCATCAGTTGACTTGGCTCATCATTGTCTGGTCTGATTAAGATTTTCCCTGGAATGTGCCAATGTGCCATCATGACCAGGCCTGTGCTGTCCTCTTGGGCCCATGGGTAAAGAGAAATGCTGTCTACAGATCCTGTCAGAAATGTTCCAGTTGATCCCAACAAAGTGGTAATAGATATGTTTTGTGACACAGAAGTCCTGAAGATCCACAGTCAACCTACTGGTCAGCCTGTGCACTAATATTGTTGTAGGCCTATGTTCATTCACAATTAAATACATATTAGACATGATGTGTTTCAGAACTTACTGTGATACATTTGGGTATTTCAGTTTTTTTTACATCTATAGCTTGTTTATCTTTTTTGTTTTAGTTTCTATCTGTCTTCATTGTATTCCGGGTAGCAGCATATGGAGAAGTAACATTTAGACTATTATTAATTAATAACTAAGCAATTAGCCTACACGGTTAAATAAAATACAAAAATAATTTAATATATTTTAATTAGTCCATTTACTGAATTATTTTGGTGCTTATTGAAAACGTTACGATCTTGACCTTAGCAGCCTACAATTTTTTTGAAATCATAAGGGCTAGGACTTAATGAACTTCTGCATAAAAACAGACAAAAGACACATGTAAAACGTGCCTTCCAGCTCAGGCAGCCAACACCCTTTTTTAATGACAATACGTCTGTCGGAATAGGAAAGTACGAGGCTGCCTTGAAAGCAGCACCAGCCGACGTAGTACTCCCCTTCAGCTCCAGGAGCCACACCAGGAACAGTGGGCCAGCCTCAATGGGACCAGAGCTCTTCCGGAGGCGGATTATCCCAGTCTCTACGCAAAGTCCTAATGTACTCAGGAAGGCATTGCCATCACTCGTCTCAAGGGAACACGTTTTGGAAACAAATGCAAGTGACGACCACCATATGAAAAGCTTTAACGAGTAGAGATGGATATTAGTGTTTCACATTTTCCTTATTGTGTAAATAGTAAAGTCTGACATCGATAAGAAGATCCTGTATAATGTGACAGCTGCCGTGGCGTTTCATCTGCTTTGGAGAAACAACTTGACCATCCTGTTTGCATTTTCTTATCTCAGCACAATGGTGACATACAATGTGGCTTTAACTTTCATTACTGTGGCCTTTTGGTGTGTCAGTGGCGAACCTCAGACTGTTTCATCACCTGCGACGCAGTTAAATTCAACATCATCATCCGTCATCAGCCAAGGTAACCTGAGAGATAATGTCACAGATGAGGCCGTGGGATCCCGGATTTCATCTCTGATGACGCACCTTCCAACTCTGAAAACCGCTGTTATTTGCGTGTGCGTTTTAACAGCTGCTGTCATTACAAGCCTGGTCATCAAAGTGGTCAGGTAAGCAGGTTGATCCGAACGGGTTTCATCATAGACGGTAGATGCAGTCACCCTAAATATACTGTAAATGTTTTGAAATTTAAGTGTTGCTCCTGGTAAATGAATGGGTTAGGAGCATGTGTTGGGCTCCATGTGGAGGCAACGAGGAAATGAGGAGGCCTGTTAATAATGTTTCTACAGGGGATTCGTGTGTGGAGGGACTCGATTAAGCAGCAGCCAATGATAGTGGTTTATGTGGGTTATATTTAATGTTACGTGTTTGTGAAGTGTGAAACTAATCAGTGAATATGTAATATAAGGCATTTCTTACTTTCATGATCATTACCACTGATTACACCATAATTATTTTAAATTTACTGTAGTCACTGCATATTTAGGGCTGCAAGTTTTAATTATTTCTTCTTCTGTTGTTTGATTAATTGATCAGTTATACATTTAGTCTATAAGTAAGCTGGAATGGAACATTAATATGGCCATAAGAACTCAGAACTGACCAATTTAATCTATGGTATGTGGCAAAGCTAAAATAGGCTTGCAGCTAAAGTTGTAGCCTGAGTGGTGTGATTTTAAGTTTTTGTTGCTTTCCTCGTGTTAGGCACTGTTTCCCTCCCCACAGGTCTGGGAGACGAATCAGAAAAACACGAAAATACGATATAATGACAACACCAGCAGAGCGTGTGGAGATGACCCCTCTCAATGAGGAGAATGATGATGAGGAAGACTCAACCCTCTTTGATGTGAAATACAGGTTTGTTCTTTTTAAACTAATTCATTAATTAAATATCCTTGCATGGGTTTTTTAAATATTATTTAAGGCTAAACTAAAATGTGCCCTTTCATAGTTTCAACTGCCCAGATAGGAATGATTTGCAGGTGTATTCAGAATGTTTCACACATACCAGAGAAGTTAGATCTATTATTACCTTAATGGATACAGTGGACATGCTGTAACAGAAACACTACTCTGTAACCCTGTAGCTCTTTGTTTCCACAGGGATCTATTTGTGTATGTCCCTAAAGAATCACTGTTTCTTTCCAAGAACTTAAACTTTAACGACTTGTCTTGCTTGCCTTAGAGTTTTTCTCACTACTCATTACGAGTGTAGTCATGAAACATTTTAACCTTAATTTGCTTATGTGAGGCAACTTGCGAGTATGTTCTGACTGTTAAACTTTGCTGGGTGTCACCACAGCTGCAGCAAATTCAATTTACTTGTGTTACTGTAGCAGCTGTGGCTTTTACTGCTTCTAATCTAAATGAATTCGACTTCATTTTAAGCACACAAAATACTGGCTGAACAGGAATAATTGTATTTAAATATGTATCTAAAATCATGTACTGCTTGTTCTTCTTGAACAAGCAGTAAAGAACATGTAAACATTTTGTAAAGAAATGTTCTAGTTCAGTCTGGTGTTGACTTTAGGTTTCACCCTTCCGTCCTTTCAATTGTTCTTTAACATACAGTCACTTCCTCAAAGGAAGATGATGCCCTGTTGACCTGACATTCTTGGCTTCCAAATCACACAGGGCTTAGAAAGTATTTCCTCCTTACTATGTGGACACCAGATTAATATTTGTCAAGTAACTGTGTTTTCACTTTTATTTTTTCAGGTGAATCCTAGTGTGGACATCAGTATTTGGTAACACCTGTTTTGCTGGGACAACTGAAGTGATTTCCTAACATTTTTGTGCTGCCAAGTCTTACCGAATCAGCAGCTTCATATACTACATGTGCATGGCTTTGTGCACGAGTATCATTACTTGCTGCTTTACTAATGCTTCTGTCATGTCATGCAGTGTTTTCTAATATTAAAGATCAGGATGCTTCATATTGTGACTCCTCCTCCAAAGTATTTGAACAATGAAATTGTTGGCTGCCTAGAAGCTCAGTCATCTCCATAACAGTTCATGGAAAGTCTATTTCATTTCTACATTGACTGACAGTTACTGTCATTTACTAGAGATGGGAATTGTACACACCATATCGTGCATCAGATTGTATTGAGGCAAAGTCATATTGTCCAGTCTCTATCATGTCATTTCATTTTCCCACAGTGTCTTAGGCTAAAGTGTTTGTAGTGGGAGCCACAATGAGCCACCCGTATAATAATGTAGGGTTAGTAATATCTGTGATTAAAATTTTTAAATAAATACTTGGTGGCCTCTCAAAATGATCAGTTAATGCACAGACATGATTCAAGTATTGTGCAGAGAATACTTTACTCAAATGTAACATTTACACATGACAAAGAATCTATTGATAATCAGAGCAGTTGATATTTCTTTTAAACTAAACTTTAATGCCAAATATATCTCTATCTACTAACCACCTTACTGTGCATATATACTGTCGAAAACTTTCTTTCATTATGTATGGATTAGGCTAATCTTTGTTTTACTGTTTTATTTGAGATGTTCCTATTTTGCTGCTATCTGAGCTACAGTTTTATATCTTTTCAAATTTGATTTAGATTTCAAAGAATAATGTCAGGATATATTTGCAAGATATTTATAGAATACATCCACTTGCTGTGAATGTGAATGCTGTAATATGTTATCAAATGTGTTAATTATTCAATAATTTCATTTAAGTAATCACCAACCACTGCTGCTATGTGCCAGGAAATTGAGGTTTCACTAAATTCTGACAAAAAAATTAAGCTATTTTCCCTTTAGATATTAATTCACTCTTACAAATAATTACTACTTTGTACATAATAATTAACCAGAATTATTGCAGGGTACACCTGGGTTAGCCTTCTGCAGTAATGTGAGTGTGGGTGTTGTATGCGAGTTGTTCAAAACATTAACAGTGCATCCTGTACATTAACGGTCACCATTTACTACAGAAGTGCAGGAGTGACAAGGTTCATCTACTGAATCACATGAATCAAAACGTTCATCCATGTTTTTGACAGAATGTTCTTTACCATGTCTTTAATAGATTTTTGGCTAGGTCATGTGTTTTTTCATCAGACTATCAGATTCCTCTTCATTTAAATATTGTGTCATGTTTAATTTTAGTCTTTCACTGTATGTGCACAAAAATGCAGATTCATTTTTGTGTCTCTGCTAAATTTGTCTCCTGCAAGTAGTTATTCTCTTCCATCTTGGGATCTTTTATTTTATCTTAAGTTGTGTGTGTGTGTGTGTGTGTGTGTGTGTGCATGTGAAATTGTGGGAAAAAAAACTCTGGCTCATCACAAGATGCTAATTCTGGACTTTTATTGGAAGTGAATCATCTACTACAGAAAGTTCCTCTTGTAAAGTGAATCAAAGTCATTGTGGAGCTGTTTGAACACTGTAGGTAATTTCCCATATTTAAACCAAAAAAAGTGAACTGTTCAAGCCGTTTTGGAAGTTTAGTGAAAACAATCCCCTGGGTTTCTGTTACAAAGATGATGTATGCATCCACAACTGTTTCCTCAGTTTCCATTTCTGTGAAACACTACTGAAATAAAACCGCTTCCTTTGAAGTGTGCAATCATTTTAACAGAGGTGTTAGTTTTTCCATTCTGGTCCTTTGTGTATGCTCATAAGTACATCCAGTTTGTCGTAACTGCACTATTTAAGTGTCTCTGAGTCGCAATGAATATTCTAAAATCTAGAGTTTCTACTTAAAGCGGAATGGACTGAGAGAGGACAAACGTGCAAAAGCTAACATTTGTTCACAGGAGTGTGGACATTAAACAGTTAGCATACAATATGCATGAGAATAAATAAGATAAAACTATACAACACAGCAGAAATGTCAGTAGAAAGTTTTAGAAACTGGCAAATTCCAGTTTCTGGTTAATTGACTTAAAAATGTTGGTCACAGAATGTTTCTGCTTTTGCTTAGCTCAGATGAGCTCTCACAATTAACCCTTCATTGCCTTAGTCTGCTAACATCTCTAGTACAACTTCTATTATGTTCTCTGGGCAACATATTAAAGTCAATGTGGAAGTCAACAGATGTATCCTGACAAAACATGACTTAAAGACAAATGACATGACTGGGAGCACATGAACGGCTACTCGTTTAGGCGCAGAGCCCTTGGATTCAGTGCTTCTGTTCATTTTCATTTACAGTGGAATTTTGTTGTAGGAAAATACTCATAGCAAATCAAAAGAAAAACAAAAAACTCAACAACAGAATTTAGAGACTTTGACTAAGGTGGATCTTGGAAGTACAAAAATATAATATAGGCCAGCATTAAGATGTACTAGTTTGAAAAATCTGTCTGATATCAAAGCATATCCCTGCAATAAAAACTTATCTGCAGACCTGCAGGAAAATGTACTTTTTACACATCCTGTTTGTTTTTTTTTTTTTTTTTTTTACTGTCTGGGTTGTAACACTTAAGTAGCACTTAAGAAAATCACATATAACTCTGTTTTCCCACCCTGTGAAGAACAATATGAATACCCTGGACATTTTTGTTACTGGGCATGTGAATGGTCAAATCTAGTGATTACAGGCACAAAACATGGCAGCGTCACTGAATCCACAAATATCTGTATTAACCTAAAGGCTATTGAATTCTAACACAAACACACTATACAAGTATAATTTATGCATCATTTCAAATGACTAGAGGCATAAGTTAAAGCACGCTTCTCCTCTCAGTGTTACAGCACTGAAACTGACTAGGAATTAGTTTAAACTACACTATGGGGCTCATGTCCTACAGCATTTGTAAGAATATCACCAATACATTCATTAAGAAAAAGCAAAGCTCTTCTTGCTACCACTATACAGACTGACCTGACTAACTAATATTTGCAGTGCAGAAACAGGGCTGGTGTTCTTGGAGTGAGTGAGTTTAGCGACGGCTGTGTAAACATTCATATGTGTGAACAGTTGGTACACTCCTTTATCCTCTCAGATGTTGACTACAGTTCAACATGACCTCATTTCTTCATTTGGCTCTCAAGGTAACCTAATGTTATCACACTACCAGCACTTCTGGTGGTGTGGATGTTCTGTATTTTTGCTTATGAATGACCCGTTTTATCGCGAGCACCATTCAAGGTATTTTATAAGAAGCTACAAAAGCATGCATGTAAAATGTACTCTATGAGAAGAAAGTTATCACAAGTCATATATCATATCAACTCTTAAAAGATGCTAATCAAAATGGTTAGTTGGATTAAAAACAACAGTTTGAACAGCTGAGCTTTTCTTTCTTTCCCCTCATTCTCACTCAGTATTAAGTGCTTCCATCTTGTGGCCAACCCGGTGACTCACAACAGCCATTAATTCAACATTTGCTCCTCAAACAAATTATATGTTGGGTAAACTACAGTACAACACACCGTTACCAGAGCTCTATTATATCATCAACTGGAGATATTAATTTATAGTGTCTCATGAATAATTTTGAAAACAAAAAATGTGTTCTGAATTCTTCATTTTTAACCTAGAACCATACTGGAAAGTTAGTTTAAAAATGGCTCTTTATAGAAAATAACAGGCCAATATATGGGCATGACAGGGGCTTCATTAACATTTGGTTTAAACCAGACCAGCAGAAGGGAGCTCGGTAAAAAGAGTTCTCATTATTTTAAAGGTTGCCATAGAAATCTCATTAAAGGTAAAACAAGTCACTAATAGAGCCTGAAAGAGAAAAAGGTTCATTCCAGTTACTGAAAATAAGTTCTTTCAATTTTCATAAAAGTCTTCACAGTCAAGACTGTGGTTTTCACAGAAATCACCCACCCAGATTTTTGCTCTGGAACTCCTTCAGTGGTCTCCTCTCAACATCACACGGTCCAGTGTGGAGCCGGAGCGCCCCTTGCCTGTGTAATGTGCTCAGGGTCCTGAACTCCAAAGGCATGGTGTGAGGACTCGAACTGGAGGTGTACTCATATTTTAGAGTATCGTAGTAGTGGTATTTGACCGGTTTTCCCTGCAGATCCAGTGGAAATGGCCAGAAACCATAGAGATGGATCTCCTCGCAGAAGCGAGTGGCCAGTGTGTACATGAGCAGGCCAGTGGTCGGACGCTTGATATGGACATTGTTGGTCAGCCAATACCTATTGACAAAGACATATATAGTACATCATTGGTAGAATTCAGTGACTCAATAAAGATCACCTAGACTAGAAATAGGCTGCAGTAAAAGGAAGAATATGTTTAAAGTCTCCAGGTCTGTGTTCTATTTAGCATACTGAAGCCAGTACCCACTAGGGAGCAACACCTATCTCCTTCAGTAAGAGCTTTCTCCCTCTGTCTTCTGATATTAAGCCAGATATACAGTATGGGGGAGCACACAAAGACGAGCTGAATTCTGACAAGTGACAAGTAAAAATATGGAGCAAGCTGGATATGTGTCTTGGTTGTAAACCAACAAATGGTCCTTTCAAGAACTGCCTCCTCACAGATAATTAGTGACGTTTCCTTTCCTTCTTATATTTGCTCAGTGGGTGCACTGCAAAAATCTCCGAAGCCTCTGAAGTCTAGTCATCCTAAAATCGTATTTCTTAACTCATGGTGACGCAGCTAGTAAATTACTTATTAGTCAGTTCTGATGGAAAAAGGATGGATAAGTTATTTTTCAAGTAAAAATGCCAAACATTCTTTGATTGTAGCTTCTTAAATGTGAGGATTTGCTACTTTGCTACATCTTTGGGTTTTGATTGATCAAAATCAGCACCAAGATACGATTTTAGGAAACTGCATTGCATTTTTTTTTTTACTTAAAGATATATTGAACAGATTGGCACTAACATGATTGTTACTTGCAGGCCTATTTAAGATTATGGCTCACATTTCCTATTGAAACCATAAAGGCCCAAGAATCCTGAATCTAGTGACATTTTCTAGATACATGTACAGCGATATGCACAGAAAACAAATCACTTCTGTTCATTGGTTTCAAGACAAAGACTTGGCTGAAGTAACAAAAGCTGCACTGTGAAAAAATGGATTTACCGCTAAACTACTTGTTCAGGTGGACACTTGCACACACATTGAAGCTTCTGAGCAAAATTGCTTTCTTCTATTTTAGGTGACTGATGAGCTCTTACAAAAGTGAGATACCACATGCTGCCCTCAGGAGCAGCTTCAGGGACAGGTGGTCAGACATCGACTTGCCCCAACTTCATTTTCGCTTCTAGTCAACAACCTGTTTCTCCAACCTTGAGGCTATCACTGCCTCCTCAAGCACTCTTTACACTCACTGTACTTAGTGTGGAAGGTCAGGTTAAGATGCAGAGGCTATGCTATTTGAAGTAGCCTGTGTGCTATGAAGGGCAAACAGTGGACAGGTTTATAGTCCAGCCAAGCACTACAGCAGGCGAAGACCCTCCTAATAACCAGGGAAGATGGTCTAATTATCAGTGAAAAGATATGATGTGGCATTTGGTTGGAATAAATACAAGTAGTACCTGATTTGGATTTAAAGTTCAGAAAAGGACAAGGTTAGAGGGAGTGTGTATAAAAAGGACAAAGGCATCCATTTCACCTTTCTCTTGTAAAACAGTGATCTCACAGACTGTCATCTACAAAAATCATGACCCAGTTCTACTGCTTCACAATACTGGGTGCTAGCTGGGGCATACAAATTGGACTAATTTGGCCACTGACCATTTAGGCTTTTAATGAGGAAGAAAATATCTGGAGCAACAAATGAGCAACAGTTTGAGTGCAAACTAATCTGTTGATAAATTCATGTGAAAAGGAAAGTTTCATGCATGTTAACTGTAAAGTGTGAAAGACTGAGCTTGGGTGGAGAAATAATTAAAGGAATAACATGAGATTTTGACAAATATGCTCATTTGTAATCCTGAAGAGATGAGAAGATCGATAGCATTAGCAACAGTTTATAAATCTGCTCTGAACATCTTAATAGCGTCTCTGCCGGTTGCCTGGCAACCTCACGTTGAAGTCGCTGCATTGAGTTGTTATTCACTAAGCAACAAGTTGAAGCACATAACTACCAGTGAACCCCCACAGGAAGAATTCAGGACAGTATTTTAATTTGTCCAATAACCAAATACCTGCAAACCTAACGACAATCCAATCAGCCCCATCTGTACTTTGTGTTTGAATACTAATTAACAAATGTTGCCATGCTAATTAACTAAACTAAGACAGCAAATATTCTAAATATTATACCTGCAAAACACCAGAATGTTAGTTAGCACTGTTAGTGTGAGATGTTCATGGTACAAAACAGGGTGAGTTTCAAATTTTTTAAGTTAAGCTTTGGGAGAGCTAAGGAGCTTCTCATTAAACTCTGCAAGAAAGCAAATACATGTATTTTCCAAAATGTCAAACTATTCCTTGAGAGAGACACAAACATCAACCACTGATCTTAGTCTACAAATAAAACCTACTACAGACCAAGCAATACATTTCAGAATCAACATTTCACACATATTTGGTGAGATGACTCCAGCGAGGAGACGGTAGCTTGCTCACACTGACTGCCCCTGGTGATCAGCTCTAATGCTCTGCTTAAAAATAGCCATCTGGGCTGCAGATTAGAGTTTGCCAACCCTTTGATTATGCTGCTCACAGGTGTTAAGAGACACAGCACACAGAGAGCAGCAGCTGTGAGCAAGAGTTGCATCTTACCCTCTGACAGCGTGGAGAAGGCGCAGTGAGGGGAAAGCGGTGCGTACGTCCACGGTGTGCAGCAGGATAAGACGGAGGGCCCACTCCACGCGCTCTTCTCCCCCCTTGGCCATGAAGGCCGGGATCCACAACACGCTACCGCTGAGGCTTTGAAGCCGCTGTAAGAAGCGTTCCCTCCACTCATCAGTGACTAGGTCCTGGAAGGCCCGCTGCACCACTGAGGGGTTCATGGTCACCAAGTTGGTCCTTCTCCCCACGTCCCGAGAGTATTCCTCCACCGGTGCCAGATTACACCTTAGGACAAGCAAATTTACCTTTTGTAAATATCATTTAATTCCTGGTTCCTCTGCCTTTTGATCCTGATCTGCACTCACCGGCCACTTTATTAGGTACATCTGTACAATTGCATGCAATTCAATGCAACACTTCTGCCTTAACATCTGTGTTTATGAAGCTCAACATATTTTAGTTTATTGTGAAATTGTCATAAATGTATCAATTTAGTTATATGTTTGTTGCTAAAATCAATCTTAAAGGTGTTGTTGTACTGGACTACATTATATTCAGAGGTGTTCCTAATATTCAGACCCTCTCATGTATGTAGCTGGGGAGGACAAACATTTAGAGACAGTTTTAGGAGCTGGTTTATGGAATATAGGATATCCCGGACATGCCAAGGAGCAGTGAAAAGCTCCTCCTGTAACATTAAACTGATGCATTAATGCATCAATATTCAGGATCCTATTATTCAATTCAATTCCGTTTTAGTTGTTTAACACCAAATCATAACAAAACAATCATCTCAGGGTACTTTACATAGTAAGGTCCAGACTTTACAGTATTATAGAGAATAACCAACAAATCCCACACTTGGAGACAGTGGGGAGAGAAAAACTCCCTTTAAGGGAAGAAATTTCCAACAGAACTGGGATCTTGGTGGGCGGCCGTCTGCCTCGACCAGCTGGGGTGAGAAAAACATCAAGACACAACAAATAAACCAACAGTGGGCAGGTTAATGTGGCTGCTGACTGCTCAGCAGAAACATACTTTAACCTAAGCAAAATTTAAAATGCAGGCCTTTAATTTGTAACAGAGTACTGCAGAGTATCGCAACTTTTACTCAAGTAAAAGAACTGAGTATTTCTTTCACCACTACATGGTTTTCACTGTACAGGGATTCTTTTACAGCTTAAAGGTATCTAATAATACAGTACATCATGGCAGCTAATGTACCCGCTTTAGGAAACAGATGGTTGAAAAATGACATGCACACTGAAAACATGACAAATTTGCAACATCTGCTGACTCTAATCTAAAAAAAAAAAAATCAATACATTCCTTGAGTATACAGAATGATTCCATTGCATCATAACACTGAGCTAAAATCATTTATAACCAGTACCCCAGACACTGTCAACCCACTTTGTGGGAACCAAAAGAGCAGATCTATGTTTAGCTGAGACATTATTTCCCTATCTAATATGAGAATGCCAAAGCAAATTCCTCTGCTTCTCAGAATGCCACAGTGCTTGTTGTCTGACTTCAGCCAACTGTTACCATCATGCTCTGGCACTGCTATGATGCTGCTGGACTCTAGAAATCATGACCTCGCCTCATCAGCATAATATCACAGCACTTTGAAAAGGAAAGATACAAAGGCAACACAAACACTTTCAGAATAAACAAAGGTACTGAGAGATTTTGAGGCCCGTGTATCTCGTGATCAGTCACCTAAATTAGGCGCTTTCGCAGACAGCTACATTTACACAACATTCATATGGCTGATAGATTTATGAAAGGGCATTTTTCAAAATAGACTCCGGTGCAGACAGTGTGCTTTTTGGATTGCTCCAAATTGTACACAGAATCTACATAATAATATAAGCACAGATAGATTTATGTTTCCTCCTATGACAAGAGCGACTAGTGATAAATAACCCACTCAGCGACTCCTTTGCTTACACCCAAACACAAAACAGAGCCAGCCGACTTCTCAGGGCCATTGAGAGTGCCTGTGTTTCTCTGAGAAACATCGTGTTTCTGCCAAATACAAAACCTTTTCAAAATGTCAATTTCCTGTATAATCAAGTATTTAATTGTTTGCAGTCTGGTAGTTGGTTTCCAACTTTAAATTAGTAAAAAGCTTTGACAGTGTTTTCAAAAGTGTGCACTATCTCTAAACCTGAATTAAACTGAGAATTGTGAAGGTGATTATTATTCCAATGAATTATCCTCAGAAAAAGTGAAATAAAACACTGACACTGAAACTCATTTTCTAATCCCTTTCAGTTATGGTCTTTCAAGTAGAAAACTTCTATCCCTGAAATCTGTTTCTGTGGAGGGAAAAAATTACCTGATAACAAAGTCGTGAGAGTCAATCTCAGGCCCACAGCTGCTGTTCTTTTTACCTGTGATGCTGGTTCTTCATGGGAGAAACAGTGGGCAAAAGACGATACAGATTCTCTGAGATGTTTGTGGTGCTATGGCGATCAAAAATATAGTGGATGATATCTCCCGGTTTCAGTGTTCCCTTCAGAATGGAAATGTCTCTCTCTGGGTCGAGGAATCTCAGAATATTCTTCCTGTAAAAAGAGAAAATATACAGTAGTTATAAAAGACTCTGCTTAGTCAAGTGTAAACCGCTGCAGAAATAACTATAAAGTGATGACCTGATGAGGTTGGAGAGGGTCTTGTTGAAGGTCCAGTTGTTTGACGAGAGCTTGGCAGTGTTACTGTAACTTGAACCGTGACATTTTAAATCTGTGCCTAGTCGTGTCAAAGCAGTCGGATCCACGTGTGCTGCAGCCGTTCTAAATAAGAAGAGAAAGTCGTGTTATTGACTTCAGTGCCAAGCTTTAAAATTCTTATCAAACCCAAAACAAAAGACTTGTTATGGTAGAGGGGTGGCATTTTTGAAATATCATGCCAAGTACGCTGCATTTATTTAATGCTGCACGTACAATATAAAGCAAAAACTAAATATGACCAATATCAATTATAAGTTTAGCTTTTTTCTCATGGAATATGTTCTCCTTATCACATGGGTACCACCACAGTGATGGGTATTTATAGCAGCTGCCTTTCTGCTGTAAAAGGTAACAAGATACTCACTGTGAATGACTCACTGTGTTATCAAGGCTGCAAAAGCATTAAATGACCACTATCAACTGAAAACTATATAGAGAGATCATTTAGCTTCCCATTAGTGGTCTATAGCTATACGTGTTTGTGTGTCGATAATTGGATTTCAGACCTGTGCGCTTTAGGGATGCGCTGCTGCAAGTCCATCTTCTTTGAATGTTCAATGTTCCTAGAAAAAAAAATAAGATTGATTTATGAATCGCACACTGCAGCCTGAAGTGTTGGTTGATAATGGATAGCTGCTTCAAATCCTTCCTGTTACCGTATTTTGTAACAATATTCCACCTACTGTATTCAGCACCAGGTGTATTGTATGTCCTTTCTTTATGACTGAATGAATGTGAAAGGCACGCATCAAGGTATTTTTAGAGCAATCCACCGTGGGCCCATTTGCTGATGTAATGAGAAGAAATGTGGCCTTAATGGAGTCCCATTATACTAACAGGAGGTTCTATTTTCACAAGGAGAAAGCAATCTCTTCAGAGTGGTGTTGAACATGCCAGCCAAGATGCATTTACAGTAAACATGCTGTGTATACATTTAGATTTATAAGTACTGGTCTACAGTAGTTTACAGTTGTGACCTTGGTCATAATCCTGTCAAGCTGCCAGCAGCCGTCTGAAAAAACAAAGTGACAAACTGCTGTTCTTATTCATTTTACAAATCTGGTGGCTTTTAAATATGTTACTGTATTAAAGTGCACAACTGGTTCTGGTTGTTCTCCTGCAAGGAATCACAAACCGAAATGACCTCATTACAATGTATGCCACAGCCGGGTAATTGCAATCAAAACAAAATGTTCTTGCTGAAAGGGAAGTGTGACAATCCAAAAGCATCCAAAAGCAAAGAAAATAAGGTCATTTTTGTTATTCAGGTAGCACAGATATCTTTATAGCTGAGATGATAATGATGAAAACAAGAGGAGGACGTTACACTGTTGACGTCTGTATTGGCTTCTTTACATGTGACAGAAGTATTCTGATGCTAAATGAATAATGTATATTCTTGTAGGTCAAATGAAAGTGGGGCATGTGTATGACTTGTTAGATTTCTGCTGCACTGCTCAACATTTCAGTCTGAAAATGAAAAAGGAAAAAGGGGGAAAGCCTCTTTTGTTTCCCTTTTTTGTTCCCCCACCTTCTCTGCCCCTCTCTCATAGTGTAAATGCGTGGTGTCCCGCATGCAGGCTGCTGCAAGACAAATAGCCTAATCCTAGGAGACCCAGACAGGCTGCTGTCGGAACAGCTGCTACTGCTGCACCCAAGTGTTACAAATGGAGCAACAAACCACGCACGCCCCGCATTCAACTCCAAAGTTCACTTCAGATAAACTCATTTATTTCACTTATTTATTAATCCTCAGAGAAAGCCTGAGAGAAATAACCTGCTGGACAGATAAAAAACAATAGACTTCACTGCCATAAAACACAATGCGTGGATTAAACTACAGTGGGTTACTTACGCGGTTTCTTTTTCCACTTCTGCGATATCATCAATTATCAGAACCACAACCAGCAGCGTTAAAAAGCCGAACAACAGCGTGCGGAACACAAGCGGCATGGCTGAGGGGCAGGCTGCAGCCGGGAGTCCCTCCTTTCACCAGGAACCGTCTTGTGTTTCCCATTTACAAATCGAAAAGCTGCTCCGTCATCTCCCCCTTTGTTCTTATCGCAGGACTCGGACACTCCCAGGCGAGATGCGCCCCCCCCCCTCAACCCACAAAGATGATGACTACTGTGTGCGTGTGTTTCCCGGCGGGGCGACGCTGGTGCCGGCGGCACTGCCACCTCTATTCCCCAGTCAAACTTTGAAAGCGTGCACCTACACAGCCTGCCATGAGAGCAGCAAGATATAGACCACATGCAGTCTTAAAGGCGCAGGGGCCAACTCTCCATCTTCACCCCATCCGGTTTGACTCCCCTCTTCCAGGCTGCGGGGACAGCTAGACAGGTGCGTGAGGTAGGGCTGCGCCACGCAGACTCGTATCCAGAGGGATCATTAGCGTGTGGGCTGCCCAGATTTCAAAATAGAGGTCAAAGCTGGTATAATGGGGACATCTTTTTATAGTAAAGTACAGTTTTGGAAAACTTGTATCTGTATAACTCACATTTTAAGCTATTTGATAGCTGTAGTAACTTCTTAGATAAGGATCTTTAATAAAAAGTTTATAAAATGTATTGTTCAAGGTTAAACCTGCTTCCTAAACTTTCTGACTTTTGACCCCTTACATATAGCAGTGTCTAGTTGGTGTCCCTTTTCACATTTCAGACATTTATGAGTTGTCACTAGATCCAACAATGAGCAGTTTTCTCTTTAAGATCTTCTTTCATCTTCCAACAACTGAAGTCCAAAAAAATACAGTTCAATTGTTTCTCAGTTTGGGATGAGATGTACCAACAAAGTGATAAATGTAGGAATTGTCTGAAGCTTACATCACTCAGTTTTTTTGCATCGCTCAGTGAAATTCAGCCTTGTATAAAATGACAAGAATGCTGATCCTGGAAAAAGAAATGCATCAGATCATATGTCTTTGCGTTGCTGTCATTACTACTGTCTTTGCCTACACACATACACAAACACACATATTGCTTGGCATGTTAGCTTTTTGTAAAGCACTTTGAATTAGATTTGTGTATAAAATGTTCTGTATTAAAAAGCTGCCTTGCCTTTCTTGCAGTTAGTTAGCCCTCAAGCAGATGCAGTGTTGGAGTCACAGTAAAACCCTATTTCACTCAGTTATTGCTAGTCAATTATCTAGTGATTAAGTATAAACAGCTATAAACATATGTGAACACTTTAATTGTCTATATGTTACAAATGTTTGTACAGTAGCCATTTTAATTATAAAGACTATATTAACTTATTTTGGAGTCTGTCGGTTTAAGTAATTAGACCACGTGTTTGTCACAGTAATTTTCTTGTGCTTGCACTGACTAGAACTTCATCATCGTCATCATCTTCCAGGACTTTTCCTTAGTTCTAATCTCATCCATCGATCATCTCCAAAGGCATTGTTACCTGTAGCTGTTTGCTGAATATGACTGAAACATGCTTGATCTTGATCATTAACTGCACTGATAACACATGGCTAGCAGGTGTTTAATTTAAACAAATTAGGCATTAATTAAAATAAAGTTGGCTTTGTTTTTACTTTTCATGCACACAGTATATGATCTACACAACTGTAGCACTTACTGTAGAGATGGATACAGGGCTAATTTACAGTACATTAAAAGAAAAGTGACGCTGGGACTTTGGGAGTGCACTCATAATCTTTTCTCATTACCCTGGTAATATCTAATCTAATGCTAATTCATTACTGAAATGGTATATTCTGCATTTCATAAAGACTAACGTGCTTTTATGTATTTTCTAAATCGTACATGCATCATTAACATTTGCATTTATTTTCTACATTTTGTGGCATTATTATTAGAAAACATCAGCACCCGAGCATGAAAGTCTAAATATAGGCAGGCTGACTCAGTCAGACCTGTGGACTGATATGCACTGAAACCTACACCACAGTATATCCTGCACCCGTTTGAAAAACACATAAGTCAGAACTCTCCATTGAGGATTTAGTGATGTATTTTTTCTGCTAGAGTTGATGAGTAACAGTTGGTCTTTCCAGAGCGCCCATTAGGCTAATTGATGGTTCTTAACTAAAAGAGGAAATTTGCCTGCAGCAGCTTCTATTTTCAGATTGGTTCCATTCTGTGTGTGTGTGTGTGTGTGTGTGTGTTTGTGAGATGACTTTCAACAAGGGCACTTTCCCAAAGACTGCGGTATTAGCCTATAATGCATGTTGTGGTTCTTTGATGTGACAGGCATCAGGAGTGAGGTGTGTATCACACGTTGTGCTCTGTGCTGCTGATACTGTAGCTGTCATACACAAGCTCTTATTTATTGCTGAAGAGTGTCATTGCGCTATTGTTGGACTTTGCAACCACTGAAACACAGGAGGAAACATAATATTGACTCTGATTTTTCAAATTTTGAAATTTGCAAGCAAATGATAAAATTAGAAATGTTAGAAATGATGGCATGTTGTTTTCATTAGAGGTTGTTTGTGTGGCTGCTTTAGATTATGAACCAAACAGTACAATTTTGAATACAGTTATGATTTATTATCTGTTGTTTGTATGGTATTAAATATTTATTTTAGCCCATTGGGATGTTTAATTAAACAAAGTGATGAATTTCAGACCAGCAGACTGTAGTTATCTCTGCCACGGAGGTTTTTACCAGCAATTGTTTGTTGGTTTGTTCACAGCATAACTGAAAAAGTAATGAATGGATTTTGATGGAATTGTTTGGAGGTAAGGCATGGCCCACGTACCAGTCCACTGGATTTTGGACAAAAATTTCAAGACAACATTCACAGCAATGTATGATCTGGATCGAAGTAATATTTAGAAATATTAAAGGATCTGATAGCTGAAATGCCATCCCTTATTTCATGTTGAATTTAAATTATTGCTCATGTTACAGTCACAAGTTAAATTTAAAAGGACCACTGAAGTTCTGTTTTCCTCTCATGAGGAGCACTGCTCACTTTAAGAAAACACTTGGATCATGTATTTTGTGGGAGGGAGCTTTCCAAAGTTTGAAAAAAACTGATTATATAGGGAAAAAATATACAGCAGTTGCATTATGGGAAATGTAGGATCCAGCATTCCTCGAGCCTTTACCATTACTAGCAACTAGAAGTTAGGATATCTTGGTGTCTGTTGGTTTGATCTGGCAGATGATGGGCTGAAAACACATCAGGAATTCTCTTTCAATTCACAAAATGTTTTGGGAGGCTGCTATTAGTAACTTTTGCATCAGTTGCATCTTGGCTACTTTTATATATTTTCATTGCATTGACACATGTTTCTTATAGGTCTCATTATGAAATGTGACATTAGTTGGTGTAATACATAAAGTCATAAACACAATTATTGTATCATCCTCTCAGAAGTGTTTGCTTTATGAGGACATACCAGCAAATCATCATGCATCAATATGAATTACCAACTTGATCTACTTTGCAAGCTGATTTAAACCATCTGCTTTTAAAAACATAAAAGACAACAAACCACTAACTGTAAAACAAACCCCACCACATCAGCGGAGGACAAGAGTCTCTCTTTTCTTGTTGCACAGTTTAAAGTATTTGCATCAGTAAATTATATCTAGCATCATATTTTATAGCTTCTCATATCAGTGACTCTTACATACTTGAGATAATAAGCAACGGTTAAAATCTGAAAGCTAACCTAGAAACTCTGAACCTGCTGTGCAAGTCGGAATATGAGAAGTCTTTGTGCTCATGTGGTTTAGTAATTTCTTGGGTCAATACTTCACTTCTTACTGAGTAAGCACTTAGTACAGAATTGAAAATGTACTGTATGATGAACTGTGAATAGAAACGGGCAGCTTAAAAGTTCAGGCTCTGCTCTTTATGATCCTTCAGTACTTTAATGAGAATGTTTAAAGGTTAAAGAGAGTTTTGACTGAAAATCATAAACAGCATATCCATGTTTATTAGTACAAGGGGCTCATAAAATTTTCATAACACTGGTAAGATGATATTTGATGATGGATCCTTGTACAATAGGACATTCAGAGTATTGATCATAAAATGCGTTTTATTTTCTCTTTTGGTTCTCTGGAAAATTGGAACAGCTTTGCCAGAACCTATGACTGTTTTTAAAACAGGTGGACTTTTATTTTAGTAAGAAAATGTACATTTTGTATATTTATAAGGATAATAATCTTTATTTGGCCAAGTATGTTACACATAAGGAACTTGTTTCTTGTACAGAACGGAGGCAGCCATCTGCAGCGCAAACTCACACCCATGGCTCTAACCAATTACTTTTGCATGTCACTTTTATGTATTCCTGTAATGCAAAAAGAGGCACAGTGTTTGTGATCATGGTTTAGGGAAGGCCAGAACCACCATGGAAATAAGTTATATAAACTACAGTGTTTTTATCTTGTCATGCTTAAAATTTATACATTACATTGTGTTATATACTAGTCATAGATCATGCTGTTCTTCTTGTTTTTTCATATCCATGCCTGATATTGGATTTAATTTCTCTTTGTTTTCATCTTCCTTTGCAGTGTGAATATTTTGCAGTGACAGAATTAAACCACATCAAACATAATATAATGTAAAACACTAAACATATCAGCTCTCTAAAGTAAGTAAAAGAAAGAAAAAACACTCAAATTGTTTTATGAAAAAAACATTTATTTCAGGAGTAAAATAAATGATATGTTGCCATACAAAAATGTTAAGAAACGGGACAATGTCAAAACTGTGCCTGCAGAGAGATCAGAAGAACAACTTGCTGGGCTGCGTTAAGGGGTTCTTCAAAACCATGTTCACTAATAAATTCAGTGTTGTTCACTTTGTCTGACCTTGCACTCCTGTAACATACACCTTTATCCCAAATATGGCAGCTCTAGCCCCAAGACAAAAGACTGTATGTGTCTTTTGCCCAAATGATGCGACATATTAGGTTGTTTTTATGATTTGTCCCAAATCTTGTGTGACATCAGATACATCTGAGACATTTTCATTACTGTATATATAATGTACACTGTCCTTCTAAACACAATCTAATGAAATTTTCTGGGCCTAAGAAAAGAAAATATTACTCCTAATGTCTTTTTTGAATGTCAAAACACAAAATATTACTCTTTTTTAGTTATTTTTTTGCTCTTCCACTAAATGCAAAAGGCAAAATACTGTAATTTATATATATATATATGAAATTAATATTCTTATTTGAATGATAACATATTAAGACATACTGTATATTGGGCTGAATAAACTCTGCAGATATAAAATGGAAATGAAACGAACTGCTACAATGAACAAACCTGGAGTCTGACACAAGGCTGGTGAAACCTATCAGACATGAATTGCACATTTGCACTGAGGGGACAAGACTTCACAGTCTAGTCTAAGCAGTATCAGAAACAGTGACTAAGATCCACCAAGAGAACGAGTATCTGAAAAGTGCATGATGATGTGAAACACTATCTTATTTAAAGCTACTGGATTACATTTTTTTTGAAAGTTAAAGCATCTAATAGGCCGCTACAATAAGGTGTTTGTGTTCTCCTTTTAAAAGAAACCTTCCTGCATTGAAATAAAATGCATTAACTGATGAACTATTAGTTTGTAAACACTCGGCAACTTTTAAATATGAATAACCGAAGAACCGGCCAAACTTTTTTATTATTATCAAAGTCTTATTTTGAGAGACTGACAGAACGCACAGTGCACTGGCCAAAAGGAACCCGCCATTGTTCACACAGACCACTGGAATCATGACAGGCCTAAAACAATATGGCAACTATAGTTGTCGTTGTAGTTCTAGCATCGTGCCCAGCTAGGACTGAGCCAGACAGTACTGTAACACCAAGTCAAGACAGGAAGTCACACGGCAACACTGGATAACACCTCGCTGATAGGTAAATACCTATAATGGACCCTTTAGTTTAACAAGGATGTGGAGTGACAGGACTTTAAATAGATCACCTTTATCAAAAACACTCCGTTTCATCCTTTCAGGAAAAAGAATGAAATCTTAAAATATTCCGTTGAGAGAATACGAATGTCCACACTGTCCTTTTCTTGCATTACAAACTATAAAACGGACTCCATATTTTCACAAAACTCATGGTCCTCTAGGTTATATACAAACTTTGTCCGGTCAGCTAGTTTTGGGCCCTCTGTGAGAGAGGGGTAAAACTCAGTCTGTGTCATATGGCCCTCATGTCCCATGATGTACTTCTTGTAGTTCCTGCGTAAGCAATACCACGTGGTGGTGTAGAGGAGGAAGGCAACACCCTTGAGGATGATGGCAAGGCTCACGTACAGATGCCTGTAAGCTACGTTGTCGTACAGCAGGCAGGCACCTCTACTGCCGCACTCTGAACTCCAGAAAAGGCAAGTAGAGTCGATCCCAGCACCAAAGATTAGAGGAGGAGGGATGAATCCTGGAAATTTGAAACAGTGATTGAGCCCACAAACTTTTTGTTTTCCACAAAATAACTCAAAAGAGAAGAAAAACTACGTCACATGCATTCAGTCATTTTTTCTTTTACTTATTTTTCCCGTTTCTTTTCACTGCATGACATAAGTGCGTATGTACACTGTACCCAAAACACTATACTTGTGTTCTGTATATCACTTCTCTTCTCAAACTTAAAACCACTGCTCACAAGATTAGATCTCAAGGATGTTTACTCCGGTTTTCCTTCAGATAAATAATGGCCTTGGCAAAACTGCCTTAGACTGCTTTGCCCCTTATTAATGGAATTAATTATGAAAACTTAAAACGGTCATTTCTTAATTCTATTACTCCTCCCTTTTTAATTCTATTACTCCTCCCTTCTTAATTCTATTACTCCTCCCACCTTCTGAATGTGCATTTGGTTTTTCGCTGTCATCAGCTGTAATGTTGTATGGTTGATGTGATTCACTTGTTCTCAGTGTGGAAACAAATAAAACCAACAAAGCATTTGAGGTTGACTGAGCCATGTATTTGCTCGAGTGATGGGACTTTGGTAAACTTTGGTAAACCTCCACACACTTGCAGTCTTAGCACACACTTAGGCACTGTAGCAGAACCTTCAAATGAGACCCACAATATCTAAACTGAATGCGATATCTGATAAAGAATTTGTTTAACAGCTCTTACCGAGGAGTCGTAGTAAAAGAAACAACACTCCAAGTGCGTATGACTTTAGCTCAGGGCTCACAGTCCTTCAAGAGAAGCAGACAGAATAAACGAAATTAATTACTGTTTTATTTTAATGGATTTTGTGAGTGATCAAACCTGTTGACACGCCCGTCACTGCACACTCATACATTTGTGTCCACAAAACATACCTGATTAGGATGATGACAGAGGGAGTCTGGGCCATGGCTCCGACGAGGCTGCAGACACAGATCACACACAGGAAGATGAGGAAAATCTCCTGGCATCTGGGCATCGGACATTTTCCTGAAACAGCTGTGGCGAGTTCATTCTCGGCAGATATACAAGCACATGCTGTCAGGTTCTGGGAACAGAAAAAGATGAGACTGTTCATCCGAGAACCATTTGAACAACAACAAGTAAATGAGATTACAGGGAAAACATATTATATCTGGCCCAGGCTATTTTCATTTCGGGAGGAAATCAACACAGTGGAACTAAATGATCTGCACTATAAAAAAAAAACATAACATTACTGCTGTAACTGCCCCAGTCAGACAGAAGTAAGAGGGATATTTTGTGCTGCTGAGCTTAGAGCAGTTCTCTCTGCATGTGATTTGAATATAGAAGGCATTAATCTGCAGTCAGCATCTGCTCTAGGAAGAACCACAGTAGCACTTGATTGCCCAGAGTATGCCAGCTGATGACAGAGCTATGATATACTCAGACTTTTTTTTGTACCTCAGACTTTAAAACCCACAGAATACACAGCATTTATAATAAGTTCAAAGAAAGGTTTGTGTCAACTGTAACTGAACTGGTCGTTTTTCTGGTGCACAATCAGATAGATAACTACTGTATCCTTTTGAAGAGAGTGTTAATCCATTCTTATTATCTAAGATTACTGTTACTTGTCACCATCACAAGACAACCACGGACCTGAGAGATGTTTGACATGGTCTGAGGGCTTCCTGTTCCAGCGCAACCAGCGAAGCAGCCGGACAGGTAGGTGATACTGTTGGAGCCGCAGACCGGGCTGATGGAGGAAGTTAAGCAATTGCAGTTACGGATGCACTGAGCTTCTGGTGTCTTGCCCACCTGCAGTGTTCTGAACACAGAGACAGAAAAGCCTGAGCATCCCTTCCCACTGTAAGTACCAACTGTATCTGTACAAGGCACAAACAACATTGAAGAAGCACTCTCAGCCCTTTATTAGTGATATTATGGGTTTCTGGATCACTTTTAACATCTCCATGGAAACTGCACTGCACTGCCAACCTGCTCTGTGGCAGGTAGAGCTCAGGCTACCAAACTGAAAAGTAGTAAAAGCCTAAACCACAGGACAGACAGAAATACTGCTTGTGCAGCGAAGTAACAAGAAATAAAGGCAGTTGATTTATTTCCCCCTTCATGTACTTCCCTCCCTCCCTCCTAATGCACATGCCTATGATGTCTGACACTGTGATAGTCCTATGCTGAGCATTGTTGGGATAAGGGGGCAGCTAACACTTATTTTCATTGTTGATTAAACAGGTAAAATCAAAACAGTTGCAAACCGATCTTTTTGTCAGTTGACCAACTGATTAAGCGACTAAATGTTGCACCTCTAGTTTTTATGTAGTACAAAACTTCTATTATAAAAACACCTATTGAATACTGAAAGCTCTCACTGAGTAATCCAACTCAGATTTATCTTCATTAAATGATATCTACCAATTTAAATAATACATTTGATCAATTTTGCTCCATTTACTTTCAAAAGCTCTTACTGCTGTTCCATTATGATTTTAAGTAAGTGTTATGTACTTGAAAATATTATTTCTTATCATTAAAATGGCTCTGAATTGCTAGACTGTCTTGTCTTCCTCGGTAGTTCTTCAGATCCACTAGGTGGCGATAGGTAGGATTAAAACACTGATATTCAGGATCTGGTAATCCTGAAAAGTCTAAACCTGGAAAAGGGTGATTTTACCTTGAGTTGTTTTGACATACAAAATCCATCTGATTTATCTGATCCTGGACCACAAAATGCTGGATTTTCAAATCTGATCTGATCTGATTGAGATGAAAAGTTTTGAACCCCTGGACCCAGGTGTATACAGTAACATAACTATACATTATCAGTACTTTATTGGCTGTCATCAAGAGTCGAGCTTTCTCTGTTGAATCAAGACGGTTTTTCACACTGAACTGTGCTGATGTCCTCCTGCGGTTCAACTATTTCATCTGCTCTGCTGCAGTAGGCGTGTGACTGGTTAGTTGCTACAGGGCCAGCTTACATCTAGCTAAACTAGAAACTCATGGATCGTCAAAAGACCAGTTATTCAGGAAATTAGTTTTTGAACACAGTCAACTTCATGACAGGGTGATTACGTTGCACTTCAACAGCAGCACCTCAACATGTCACAAATTCAAAATGAAGGTTATCAAATCAAATTTCAGTACTGAGCAAGTGAGGTAAAACACTAATTACATGATAAAAGCAAAACTCTGTGGGGAGAAACTAACTTTTTCAAGCAGCTGCTTTTTTCTTTTGTCAGTCATCACACGACACCTAAAATTTACATGATGACTGCTTACAGTTGTTCCAGCCAGACTGGTAAAAACTGCCTGGAAAAACCAAAAACTGACATTTCTTTCTTACTTGTTGTTGTACGCGACTGTCACTCCTGCGACGGGACCCGTGTCGCAGCCCAGGAACAGCAAGGAAACAAAGCAGGCAGTCGAGATCAGGTTGACCAGCATGGCCATGCGGATCGCTCCCAGAGCAGACAGGTTCAGCTTTTTCACCAGCAGACCACCCATGAAGATCCCCAGACAGGCACATGGAATGGCTGTCATACCTGAAAAGAAAATGTCCCAAAATCTGTTTATTATACAGGAACTGGAAAGCATGTGTGACCACGCATGTGTATGCACTGACACAGACCTAGCAGTTGGTTTGCTGAGGTGGTGGTGAGGTTGAATTGCTGCTCGAGGTATTTCGCCAGAAAGGCTGCAAAGCCAGCCACGACAGCGATCTCCATACAGGCTGCCAGGATGATGCAGGTGAACACTGGGTTCGACAGAAGGTGCTTGGTCACCTTGGGAATCACTAATCATGAAATGATAATTAAGGACAACCATTATTTCCTTCCATGCTGGTTAGCAAGACTGACAGGATTCTGTTGTTGCCTTTTTTGGCACTTCATCATCGCTTTAGCAATTAAGTAATATAAATAATATACAAATGAAATCTCAATGAATAAAATGCAGAGATCTAAAACTGTTTTTTTTTTTTTTACATTGTGCAAAGCAGATACATCGGTGCTAATTCCAGTGAGCTTGGCTTAATCAAGTAGCTTACGCAACAGCAAATTTTAATTATGCTGAGTGCCTTCTACCTCTAGAACCTGTAAGCAGCTGCAGTGGTGAGTACTGAAGCTGCTCAAAATCCTGTACTTAGGTACATGAGTACTTCTTACTCCACTCCATAAGGAAATAATGTATTTTTTGCTCCACTACATTTGTTTCACAGCTGTCATTTGCAGTTAAAGGTTTTACACACAAATACCAAACAGCATAAAAAAATAGTTATAATGATGTCAACCTGCACCAGGTAGAAAATAATAAGGCTGCCCATCTATTGATGCATCAGTAATAGTAATATAAGATAGTACTTTTGCACGTTAAGTTACATGTACTACTTGTGAAGGAGTATTTTTATATTTTGGAATTATACCTTATTATTATTATTATTTATTTATTACTGAATTAAAGGAACTGAATACTTCTTCCACAACCTCGCAGGTCTAACCACTTTGATTTGTACTTTTAAGTTTAGTGTTATTCACACCTGACAAGTATATAAATGAATAACCATGTGCCATGTATATTGCATGTTTTACACATGAATGAATGAATGCAAATTTTCCTTGCATGAAAACACTGGATCTTGCACACTCACCCCTGAGTTGCTGACAGCAGGTGGGGCTGTTGGCAGGCTCGAGGTTGCGTACAACCCCATTGCTGGGCTTTGATGTTTCATACTCTGAACTGAGAGAGGGAGGAAGCATAGCCTGCTCGCTGTCTCCCCCATCCTCTTTCTCCCTGGTTGGCAGTGACTGAGGGAAGCCAAACATCAAGACTGCTGAGCTAAAGAGTAAGGCACCGCACAGGAGGAAGCCTGCCCACCAGGCCCCAATCCACCGTGGGTTGTCTGGAGTGATGCCCAGCTTAGCTGTGAAGAAGCGCAGCAGAAGTCAGCACAGCACATACACAGAGAAACACATAAAATAATGCAACGCTGGAGAAATGTTAAACTCACTGGTGTCAATGAAGATAGCGTCCACATAGAATTTAGTGCAGAGGGAGCCAAGGATGAAGCCACAGGCCGGCCCAAACACCATTGTGGAAAAGACGATTCCTGCATAGAAAAAAAATATCGACTCTGTTTGGTTTGGTCTAATTTCATCCAGTCAGAAATACATGTATACTGACAAAACAATGAAACAATCAGAACAGCTGGGAAAACTGCAAGTGGTGCTCCACATGATACTGATGTACAGGCTACTGAAAAGCTCTGTATGTTGGTAATCACACTGGACACTCTCCCCACTCTGAAGCAGAGGTCATGACTTGTGAACAATGACATAAGAACCCTTTTGGTAAACAAAAAGATACATAAGATACATCTGAGATGCTTGAGTTATGTTTCTATTGTGACTATACCTCTTGTTGGTGAGACAAAGAGGTTTCCTGCAGTGGTAGGAAAATGTTTTTGTTCTATTTTAAGAACATATTAAAGCATGACACAATGTCAGTGAGATCATGAATTGTGAATACATTTAAAAATAAAAAATGTTATGAATGCAGGGCAACAAGCCGATGTTATATGAAAGGCCTTGTACAAATTTGTGGAAGCAGTGTAACACTTTGGCAGCAACTAAAATTATTTTAATTAGTGATTAATTTGTTGATTTTGTTAGTACTTTAGCTACTTTTAGGTCCATAAAAATAGTAAAAAAGTCTTGCTTTGTCCAACCATCGACAATCCAAAACTTAAGACATTCAACTTAAAAATACATGAACACACAAATGCTGCTACCCCTCACATGTAAGAAGCTGAAACCAGAGAATTTTTTTGGCCACATTTCAGCTCTACTTTTATGAGGCCAGTTTTCAGCATGACAGGAAACAGGGCAACATTTTGGTTGCCATGCAAGATAAAACCAACAAAAACCACATGGCAAGTGCAGCGACACACGATTTGCTCGCTATGATCACATGGCTCTGGCCTCTCACCCTGGCCGTGCGACACACTGAACAAACAGATCCAAACAGAGACTATGAGGAAGACCCCTGATAACATAAGCCAGTTTTGTCCCAGTCTGCCCTAGAGCATAGCTATAAATAAAAATGTGTAGCTTGAAAATCGTCATTAGGGTGCTGTCAATGGGGTGAGAGTCTCAGACAGCAAGCAGATAATGAAGACTCAAAGCTTGACTTAGGAGACACATTTCTCCCTGTATGCATGCCCTGTGATCTGCTGTATTATTAGACTGTGCTGCAGAGTGGCGTATGTTGCACACATTAACACACCAGATGTTGTTCTAAGTTTGTCTGCTCAGAAGAATGGGAATGCTAGCTTAATATTACCATCAAAATAAAATGAAATAATCTCTGTTGACGCTGCCTCCTCCTCCTGTGCTGCAACATTGGTAACATCCCCTTCACTGACTGCATGTCAGCCTGAATCTTGCTATTAGTACAATATCTTCAGTAAGACGTTCGAATACCACGAGCAGCCATTTAAAAGACAAGTGTGGAAACTATGACTAACTTTTGTATGTCTCTGCTAGTGCTGAGAGTAAATGCACAATCTGCTTCCTGCCTTGACCACCCACATAGCACGGGAGTCGACGCGTTCTCATAACTATAGCCTCATTCACATCATAGTTTATTTGTCATAAAACAAAATGGCTCACAGATTCATTAGGTGCAGCTCAACAGTCATAAACAGCCTCTTTTAGGCAAGATGATGAGTGAAACCAAAGAAAAGGGCCTTTCATGTTGTGTGACTGGGACGTTTTTCTTCCATAGAACTGAAACGCCTTTGTGGTTGACAGTCAAACCACCACGGGCGTGATGAAGACATGAAGACACAGAGGTGTGTCCAGGAAACATCAGAGCATAACAGGTTATACCCTCTTCCTTGTGTTAGCTTCTAAGATTTTGCTATTTGAAAAAAGGCATAGTGCAGGTTAAGGCTGATTTCTTCTGCTGACAGTCTGCAAACAATACTACAAAACCGAAGTTAAAGTTTACAACAATTAAACTCAGAAAGTAGTGTTTAACAACCTCGAACACACAGGCAGAGGGATTCATACCTATAAACAGTTCTTGGCAACACAGGAAAGAGTTGCTGCAGGACATCAGGGAGTGTTTACTGTGCAGTTTAACAGCGTTTCATGAAGGAGAGCTGCGGTCGCTATGTGCCTATTTGCCTGTGGTGGTGCAAATGAGGCCTGTGCACTCTGTTTTGAGTGCTTCCTTAGAAACTGAGTGTTGCCTTCTCATAGCAACAACATCTCAATTGCTTTCTCCACAGGAAACCTCAAAGAGGAAATTCAGTTAGTGAAATCATCTTCCAGGAGATGACGGCTGAGCTAGCCCACACGTCCACGACTACTGAGAGGATAAATGTTTCTACAGAAATCCTGTCGCTTTGAGATGATGACACTGAAAAAGATCACTCATCTGAGACAGGCCATGCCTCCTTATTTATCTTCTGCATCTGAAGCAGAACTGAGGGACATGAGATTCTGAAGTTGGTGACAATGTCTTCATGAAAGATTATTAAAAATATTTTTATAGTAGTTTTTTCTTGGTCTTAAGGCTAAAGCCAGTGTAGAAAAAGCATGCAGCAAGCTAAGTCTTGCACAAGAGGATTAAACTGGTATGAACATGAACATAAGCAAAGTATGAAGTCCCTCATTGATTCATCACAGTTTTCTTCATGGTTTCCCTCATCCACAAGAGCCCACTCTATTTAATGTTAAATATTATCAATAATAATAATAGTCTATTTTAAAATGCTACATGGAAAGATGGCAAAAAGGACTAGGCACAAACCTTCCATCTTAAATTATCCAGTTTGGCTTAAGGGAATAGTCCACATTTTGAGAAATACTTCCTCCGCGTCTTAATGTAAAGTTAAATGTAAAGGTCGCGTCCAACTGTTTCCCAAGAAATGGTTCCAGTATGTACAGTTACTCCTTGTAAAATAACTAGATGCTGTTTCTCTTGCTTGATGTCTTTATGCTAAGCTATTTGTGTCCAAACTTCACACATAAAAGAACAATTCAACATTTAGTTAAGGAAACAAGATTTTTTTTTTAATTTACCTGAGATATCAGTCTGATATCAGTATGGTAAATATGAAGCCATAACCAGTAGTTGGTTAGCTTATCTTAGCTTAGCACAAAGACTGTAAGCCAGGAAACAGCTGAAATGGGTTAATTTTGTTTTTCCTTCCTATGATATACACACATATACTGTAAATGTACATCAATTTCTCAACTAACTCTCAGCAGGACAGTGAAGGTGTTTCTAAAATGTCAGATGTCCAATCACCAAATGATTTCTGTTAAAGGGGAGTGTCGGTTCATAAACAACTTCCATGAAGGATGCTCTTGTGTATCCTCACTTAGGGCTCCTCCAGGCAGCCTCTCGCTCCTCAGAGCATGAATAATAACTTCTAACATTCTTAATGGTTGGCGGACCGGAACAACTTTAGGATCGCGCAAGGATTGAGGGAATTGGGATTTATCCGCTCACGAGTTTGGTTACTTTTATTAGACATTTCTTTTCCTCATCCACCTCAGTGCTTTCTCCTAATCTTTTAAATAACAGATTCACTCACACTGTGACTGGACAGAAATAAAATGACTGTGACTGTACAAGCTGTAATGAAACATGTTTACCCAGAGTCGCGGGTAATCTTTGTAATACACGGTTTTCCCAAACTGTCTTTAAATCCCTTTTTTCCTTCCAGTGGTCTTTTTTTTTGAGGAAAGTACCAAACTAATTTGTTCATGTTGTAGTTCATCCAAGCCTTTTAGCATCCTCTGAATTATCCTCTCAGGGGAGCATGTCAGTTGTAATTCAATAACAAAGCTGGGCTGTAGCGTTTTTGTCATTCTCTAATTTGTTTAGAAGCCAACAGAAAAGGCTGGGAAAGATACTGTCCATGAGGCACGTGGTTTTCCAGATACTTGATTCACAGATACATCCCGTAACCTACAAGCTACATTTGGAAAGTTGATTTAATATAAATGTTCATTACAAAGGCCCACACATTCTAAGAACACAGAGGGTTGTTTTCAAATTTTGTGAAAGTGAGCATCAGAATCAACATTCCACGTGCAGGACTTGTGGTTTAGTTAAAATATAGGATCCTTGATGTCCTCCACAAAAATAACAGGCATTTAAAATGCAACCAGTTGTAAAGTTTAGCAGCTTTAGACGATCCAAGTCAAGGGGTTGAGATTAAAAGGGAGCACAGTGTGACTCAGTAATCCCCTGGATGTTATCTGCTATCAGTCATCATAGTGATCATGTTGCCAGTACCAAGTCAGAAAAATTTTATGAATGAACTAAAACTCTTAATAATTAGGGACTGCATTGGGTATTCTTTCTGCTTGGTCTGCCTCTGTAAAGTTTTACCTCTTCTCGTTTTTTTCTTGTGCTTTTTTTCACTGCTATATCTGATCTCAATCTCAAAGTCTTCCGGCACTTTAAAGGGAAGTGACAAAATGTGTATCTTACATTTTTCAAAAACATCCACCTAAAGCACCACTTCCCTTTTTATCTCACCACTGCTACCTTATCAGTGACAACACTACCGACACTCTGCAGACTCGGTGGCTCTGACTTAAGGTTGACAGATAAGATGCGAACCTGCGAACAACAAAACAGCTGCTGACACAAAATGCATTAAACTGGGCTTGACAAATCCCTTTACTCAGATCAAAAACGATTCTGTGAACATTCAGCATGACACCAAATCTGAATGTCAAGCATGACTGGAATAGGACAACAATTTATGCGGATAGCGGTTGCTATGCCAAAACATGCAACATCTGAAACATACTCAGTTGTGATCCAATATCAAAACAGCAACTTGTCCTCTGGTAAAAGTCATGCAAAAGTCATCTGTCTATTTTGATGAGGTACAGAGAAGAATAATGGCTATCAAATCTGCCAGTGATCCATAAGTAAGTACTAACAGCATTACACAGCAGCTTTCACTCTTTAAAATCCTATAGGTTAAGTGTGTGCACCATTGCACATTCAATTAATGAGTTGTCAGCTATACTCTATAGCAACCCTGTCGACTCTGCACAGCCAGGACCTAAATGACAA